GATTCGAACCCGCCACCTTAGGTGTATGTGGCTGGCGCCTTAGCCGCTTGAGCCACAGGCGCTGAGCCGCTTACCCACTTTGTAATACTGCCTCCTTTACCCAGGATTTCCCTTCCTCCCTCTTAACTGAGCACTGTGGCAGACAGATTCTAAGATCCATTCAATGATTCAATGATGCGTGCCTTCTGGTAGTCGTGCCTTTGTGTGACTCCCTTCTGTGAGTATGGGCTAGCCTAGTGACTGGATTCTAACCAACAGAACACAGCAAAGGTGAAAAGATGTCACTTTTATGATTAGACTACCTGAGACTATAACTTGCATCCTGCTATCACTCTTATTTGCTTTGATGAAGCAGGCATGTATTGCAGACTTATGACAAGGTACTGAGGGTAACCTCCAGCTAACACCTAATATATGAAGCCCACCAAGCCAATAACCCTTAAGGAACTCAAATTCTGCTAACAATAGCAGATCCTTTCCACTCAGGCCTTTAGATGAGAACCCAGCCCTGACCAAAAACTTGAAGCCTTACAGGTTTCAACCCTGAAGTAAAGAACCCATCAAAACTGTCCTTGTGGCTGGGCGCAGTGGCTCACAACTGTAATCCTAGCACTCTGGGAGGCTGAGGTGGGTGGAGCTTATGAGTTCGAGACCAGCCTGAGCAAGGAGTGGAGGTGGTGAGCAGCAGTCATGCTTAGGATGTTCTCAAGGCAGAGCTGAGAAGACTTGCTCCGTGGTATGGAAAGAACAAATGGATCAAGGATTTTTTGGTTGCAGTTGTCAGTTTAGCAGGCCAAGGCTGGGCTCAAACCCACTAGCTTTGGTGTATGTGGCTGGTGCCCTACTCACTGAGCTACAGACACCAGCCACTTGCACCAAGGCTGGTGGGTTCGAGCTTAGCTGGGGCCTGCTAAACAATAACTGCAATCAAAAAATAGCAGAGGACGGTGCCTGTGGCTATGTGGGTAGGGTGCCAGCCCCATATACGAAGGGTGATGGGTTCAAACCCGGCCCCAGCCAGCTAAAACAGCAGTGGCAACTGCAACAAAAATAGCCAGGCATTGTGGCGGGTGCCTGTAGTCCCAGCAACTCAGGAGGCTTAGGCAAGAGAACCCCTAGCCCAAGAGCTGGAGGTTGCTGTGAGCTGTGATGCCACAGCACTCTACCAAGGGCGACAAAGTTGAGACTCTGTCTCAAAAAAATAGTGGGGTATTGTGGTGGGTGCCTGTAGTCCCAGGTACTTGGGAGTAGCTGAGGCAAGAAAATCGCTTAACACCAAGAATTTGGGGGTTGCTGTGAACTGTGACACCATGGCACTCTACCGAGGGTGACATAGAGACTCTGTCTCAAAAATAAATAAATAAATAAAATAAATGGGCTTGCTCAGCTCCAAGTGGCTAAGCTTGAGATCAGGCAGACTACAGAGTGGATTCATATAATGGTTAGTGGCAGCCTCCAACATCTCTCCCAGGTCTAAAGTTCTGTTGAGTTTTTGTTGAGTTTTGAGATAGACCCTTCCCACATCTGGCCTTTGCTACTGCCCGAGAGTCTCCACTCTAGAGAGGAAAAAAGACAAAAAGGGGGCCAGACCATCAATAGCACAAATTCCAGAATCACACACACTGGTCTATCTAAACCAAGTTTTTTTAAAAATCATCTTCTATTATCCAATATTCTTGCTCCCAGATGAATATGAAGCTGGAGTTGCACCAACTGTAAAAATGCCTCTAGCCAGGCATTGTGGCGGGTGCTTGTAGTCCCAGCTACTTGGGAGGCGGAGGGAGGAGACTCGCTTGAGCCTAGGAGTTGAAGGTTGCTGTGAGCTGTGATGCCATGGCACTCTACCCAGGGGACAGCTTGAGGCTCTGTCTCAAAAAAAAGAAAATTATTCAGCAGGGCCAAGTGCTGTGGCTCATGCCTGTAATCCTAGCACTCTGGGAGGCTGAGGTGGGTGGATTGCTTGAGCTCAGGAGTTCAAGACCAGCCTGAGTAAAAGCGAGACCCCCATCTCTACTAAAATGGAAAAACTAGCCAGGTGTTATGGTGGGCACCTGTGTCCCAACTACTTGGGATCACCTGAACCCAGGAGTTTGATGTTGCTGTCAGCTATGATGCCAAATATGGCTCTCTACCCTGAGTTGAGAGAAACTCATAGTGAAACTCTGTCTTTCAAAAAAAAAAAAAAAGAAAGAAGAAGAAAATGATCCAATAGCCTTTTTGTGGGAAGAAGAAACTCTCCTTTCTCTAATGCTTTAACTTAAGAACAAATGGAGCTGAAGGAGGAAAATACAATGGCCAATCCTGTGAAGCTGACAGGGTGGGGATCTGGTGCCTATCAAGACCCCAAAAGAGACTGACATGATTTATTATCATTCCAACTGAAAGTAGTAACAGCGGCATTCATAGTTACATAGAGTCTCTTTCCAAGAAGTTTGTGATTCACCTAAACACCCTCAATTCTCAGAACACCTCCCATCAAGGCAACAAGGAGGTGGCAATCAGGTCCTTGTTGTGAGAACTGGCCATCAGCACTCACTTAGTGGGTCAGTCCCTGGAAGTTAGGTTCAGTGAATGGAGGCAGGGCCACTGACTGGCTCAGCAAGTTGTCCATCATGCTGATTTTAGCATCTTGCTTTTCAATGTCCTCATACGGAGTCCAGGATAAGTCACGTTGTAGCTTATAGGCACCACAGAAGTCATGTGGACAACGTGTTCCCCACTCCTAGAGGAGGCAAAGGAGTAAGCTCTGGTTAGCACAGGTTGTAAACAAACTGAGTTTATTTCCTGTTTATGCCATAATTTCTTTCTTTTCTGGCCTTTCACTTCACTCTTGTCAGATCCATCCTCTGAAAGCAGTTATACTACCTATCAGATCCCTCCCTTAACAGAGATAATGAACAAAACAATTTTTTTGTTATTTTTTTTAATTTATTAAATCATAATTGTGCACATTAATACTATCATGGGGTACAATGTGTTGTTTCCATATACAATTTGAAGTATTCTCATCCAATTGGCCAACACGGCCTTCATGTCATTCTCATAGTTGTTGTGTAAACAAAACAATTTAAGCCTATGCATATTTTTTAGAGTTATGTCTGGGTACATATCAACCCAATTTTCTAGGAAGCCATTCACCAGTCCACAAATCTACATTTTTGCACACACATGCCAAGAGTTTCTTTTTCTTTTTTTTTTTTTTTT